GCTCTTCTCCAATACGGTCTCAACCAAAAGTATGTATGCCGAAGGCATATATCTTTAAGTTGATTCCAATTTTGGGATAATTTCAGCCATAATTTTTTTATGAATATCTTCTTAGTTCATCTATCATGTGCCCATTGAAATCATTATAAGATGCCTTCAAGATATGCTTTAAATTAAAAAGCCTTCCACTAACTCTTAACGGCTTTCATCTTTATGCATATGTACGACAATAGTGCTTTGATTTTCCATTGCCCCAAGGCAAAGTCGAAAGGATAATTTGCCTGATATCCAATTTTATCAAGCCAATATATGAAGACTGAGATGTCGTGTCCTTTATTTTGGTCGCAGTCTCCCTTCGATGTATAGGGGTGGTCTCGCCTCGTTTTCGGAACTTGGTCGTGTTGTCAGGATGGCTTAGTTGGATGCACATTGTCCGAAGTCATCTGCTATAGTAATTATCATGATTCCCAGCGTCGAACCATGGACTTTATACATTCCCAGACGCTTCTCCGGCGTCGTCAGCACGTCTTTTACGTGTTGTAGTTTGAGATGGAAAATGACAGGAGTCCGGCGAAACGTCTGGGTCTGTGCCAAGTCCATGGTCCGACTTTGGGAATTATGATATCTACTAAGACAGATGACTTCAGACAAGATGCGTCCAATTAAGTCACTCTTACAACACGACCAGGTTGCGAAACGAGGTCAGACTACTTTTATCAAGCAAAGTTTGCTTTTCCCTCATTTTTGTTGCTTTGCTTAACTCCGAGTTATCTCTTTTTCTCGGATTTCTGATCATCATGTGTCCATTTGTATTGCAGACACTTACCCTGCTGCTTATAGCCGTCTGAGTACCAGCCCTGAGTCAAGTCGACCCACCAGCCCCTTAGGCAGCACCTCTGCTGTCTCATGGTCCGATGTTACAACCGCCCCTCCGAACTACACCGAGCGACGTCGGCAGGGTCGGCGTTTCCCATACGATTCCCTTCTCCCAGTTCCATTGTCCCAAAGGAATCTTGGTCGGGTTTTAAACTCCGATGCTGTTTCAGCTTGTACTTCTGATGCTGCTCAACTGAACAGCAGGCAGAATTCACAGCTGAGTCTGGCTAGTGAGGAGAGTCAAGCACACCAATGCGCAGTTGGAGAGGACCCACTATCTGCTTGCCGTTTACCTCCCATTACTGGCATTCTTGGCATATCTCAAGCCGGCCGGTTGTCTGCCTCTTCATCATATTCCCCTCCATCCCATCCTTTTAGTTCTTATCTCACATACACAAAGAGAGACTCAAAGGCAACTCGGTTGATTGTTGCCTCCGATCGTGATGTTTCTTCAAGTTTGAAAGCACTTGCTTCGAACAGTCTGATCCCAATGTGGAGAGGCCATGTCAATAGCGCCGGCCCCGAAGTACCTCGTAAGACCTCGCTCTGCGAGTCCTCATTGCACACCGAAGGCGTTGAAATTGCACCAAATCTGACTGCAGTGGCTGCAAATACCGAAGATCCGAGAGCTTTGCTGATGACAGCGAAAGAAGAGTATATTGTCGCTGCTAG